GACTGTAAGTGCACTTTGCCAGCTCATTGTGAGATTCTCATCAAGCAGCACCCACAGGTCGTTCTTATCAGAGCTGCTCTCACTCTGTTCTCTGCTCAGCCTGCATTAGTGCCTGGGATTGACTTAGACCAGATGCAGCACCTTGCACTTGGCGTTGCTGGACCTCATGAGGTTTGCACAGGCTTACTTCTCAAGCCTGCCAAGGTCCCCTTGGGTGCCATCCGTTCCCTCCAGCGTGTTGCTTGCATAATGCAGTTCAGTCATCAGCAAACTTGCTGAGGTTGCAATCTCCTTGTCCATGTCACCGACAAAGATGTTAAGCAGCACCAGTCCCAATACTGACCCCTGAGGAACACCACATGTTGCTGAACTCTACTTGGGACATTGAACCATTGTCTGCAACACTTTGAATGCAACTGATAGCAGTAGATATTTAATCCTGTTTTGTATGAAAGAGATACAAATAGGTATTTTAAGGGAAGGCAAGATGACCCAGGCCTTGGCAATGTGTAAAGGATGACTAAGTGAGGAATTGCTCATCAAGAAGACCATTATGCTGACATTCTTGAGGGAGACATCCTGACTATGCCTTTGAACAGGCACCAATCAACATAATATGAATAATTGGCTGAAAAACAAAGATTAGAAGTATTCTAGTGTAAATTACCTGTGAACTAGTCTCATCATATAGTAGAAATCATGTCCCTACACTGGGAGACCCCTTCCCAGCAAGGGACCCTTCTTCTCTGAGGATACACAGAATGATTCTGTCATGTCAGTAGTATGTGAATTGTGTAACCAACCAGAGGCTATGGGCTTCTACAAATGTGTATTTGCAGTGATAAGGTATTGAATAAAGAATGGCATCAAAAGTCTGAATGTGTAGCAACTTTGTGGGAAACCACCTGGAACCCAGTCTTGCACAATTCTGAAACAAATAATTTCTAGATCTAGTGTGTGGATTGACTTATTGCACATCAGGTAATGAATCATAATTTTTTATCAGACAACACAGACATCCAGACGATTCCTTAACCTTCAAGTGGTCCATCCATCAAATCCATGTCTCTCCAATTTAGAGACAAGGATATCATGGGGGACAGTGTCAAATGCTTGGCACAAGTCCAGGTAGATTATGTCAGTTGCACTTCCCTTATCCACGAACTCTATAATTCCATCTTGGAAGGTCTCCATAGATTTGCCAGGCATTATCTGCCCTTAGCAAAGCCATGTCAGCTGTCCTCAGTCACCTTCTTATCTTCCACGTGCCTTAGCATAGTTTTATTATAAATGAAGTCTCAACTCAACCTGAATTTTGTAATATTTATAAAACAAATATTTATAAAAGGTATAAAAGCTATAAAAGGTATAAAAGGCAAGTAAACAGCGCTGGGTGTGTGGGGAGTCTATGCTCCACCAACACGCACACACAAACATCAAACATTCTAAATATACAGAACATTGCTTTTACATACTAAACCCGAGTATGCCTATACAATCAGAAAAGGTAACAAACAATCCTTTAAGTTCCATGACTTAACAGTCTCCGTCTTCCATTCTTTTTCTTAATTACAAACAAGTCTCCATTTTCCATTCCTTTTGAACAATATGTCTCACTTTAAGTTGTAAAGCAACTCGGTCTTCAGGCCTTATGTATCCCATTCATCCCATGATTATTGATGACATCATCACATCGTGTTGCCTTTTTTTTTTTTTTCTCTCTTGATGGCAGGCTCCTTTCTTGTACCCTTCTCTCCACAGCAGTTCTTTTCAAAACAACTTTGCATTGGTCAAAGAACTTCACATATAACAACAACAGCAAACACCCAGAAACTTCCATGCCTTAATGGCTGAAGAACACGAAACCCTGAGTCTCCTGAATCACCCTTCTTTGTTCCCTCTAAATTTTTTTTATATTCCTGATGGCCTCACCGTTAAGAATCTAATGTTATCTCAACCACGGGGCTTTCCAACCCCCATGGCCACATTCCCAAATCTTCCCCTTCTTTACTAATATCAACCATTTTCTTGACATGGATTACCACTCCATATATAACAGTTTCCAGTAAGATCTGCTCCATGATCTTACCAGGCACAGAGCTGAGACTGACTGGCCTGTACTTCCATGGGTCTTCCTTCTTTCCGTTTTTAAAACTGGGAATCATGTTTCCCTCTTCCAGTTCACTGGACTGCCACAACTTCATAAATATGATGGACAGTGACTTAGCAACTTCATCCACCAGTTCTCTCAGGACCTTCAAATGCATCTTATCAGATCCTATTGTGGGAACAAAAATGTTTTTGCACCAGAATTGGTAACATAAGCACAGTAAGTACCAGACATTCTGCTTCATTAAAGGAGGCTGTAGCGAGGTGGGGGTTGGCCTGTTCTCCCATGTGCCTGGTAACAGGACGAGGGGGAATGGGCTAAAGTTACGCCAGGGGAGTTTTAGGTTAGAAGTTAGGAAGAATTTCTTTACTGAAAGGGTTGTTAGGCACTGGAACGGGCTGCCCAGGGAGGTGGTGGAGTCACCATCCCTGGAAGTCTTCAAAAGACGTTTAGATGTAGAGCTTAGGGATATGGTTTAGTGGGGACTGTTAGTGTTAGGTTAGAGGTTGGACTCGATGATCTTGAGGTCTCTTCCAACCTAGAAATTCTGTGATTCTGTGATTCTTGGGAATACCCAATGTATGGCAGGAGGGGAAAGAAAGACAAGTACTATATTGATATTCAGTAGAAAAGCATTTATTGGATGTATGTGACCACATAAGAAAGAGATTTTTTTCTAGAGATGTTACATTGCTTAGAGTTATGTTTTTTAGAGGAAAGGAACATGGTATTGAGGTGTGCTTGCAGTGATAAGAAAGCTTAGCAGAGAACCTTGTAAAATGCAGACAACCAGACTCCTTAGAGCAAATCAGGTGAAATTCTCAGTATCAAGTCAAGACAGATAAGGGAAGAAACATTACCACCTCAAAGAGTTAAAAAAAAAAAAAAAAAAAAAAAAAAAAAAAGTCAAAAGAAATTTGAAAAATAACAGGCTGGTAACTGAAAGCCATGTATTGTCTGTGAAGCATCAGATAGGTTGTGAACCTGGATTACCCAGTCACTGAGGAAACAGGGGAGGGTCCTTGTCATTGAGAAATACAGCAGATAAACTGTACTTTGTGACTAGTAGGTACGCTCCTGTTTGCAGGACGCCCACCATTGCAATCATGAATTGATGCTACTTGACTGAGATCCTCATCTGAGCATATGTTACTGGCAACAGAGTGTTTCTCACACTATGGTGGACCTTCAGGTTCTTTAGATGATCTTGAACCTGATCTTCTCCTACAGTGGGTAGTTCCATCATTCTCCCAGTCCCTCTTTGCCTTCTGGGACTTGGGCCATGTGGCTGAAGCTCTTGTCAGTAAAGACTGAGGCAAAAAAGTCATTAAGTACCTCAGCATTCTCCATGTTCCAGGAAACCACGCCTTGTTTCCTTGTTTCCTTCCACAAAGGACCGACAACTTCTCTAGATTTCCTTTTATCACTGATGTAGATGTAAAACCCCCTTTTTTTTTTTTTTTTTTTTTTTAATTGCTCTTGACATCCCTGGCCAAATTTTCTAGTAGGGCTTCAGCTTTCCTGATCTGATTCCTGGCTTCTCAGACAATTTCTCTGTTTTCCTCCCAGGCTATCTGTCCTTGCTTTCACCCTTTGTTGGCCCCCTTTTTCTGCTTGTGCTTGTCCAGGAGCTCTTTGTTCATCCATGCAGGCCTCCTGGCATTTTTGCCTGACTTCCGCTTTGTTGAGATGCATCACTCCTGAGCTTGGAGGAGGTGATCCTTGAATATTAACTGTGTGATTAATTTTTTTTTCCAAGCTTGCATTATCCACTGACTCATGTAGCTGGAGGCTGGATGAACTCTCACATCCAGGTCACATTCAAAGCTGCAAGGGTTAAACACTTAGGTTTGCCCTACCCTGCATAAGGAAGAGTCAGGCAGCAGCTGTTAGCAGTACAAAAGAATGGGTAAATGGCCTTGATGGGCAATCTATCTCAAGCCTTCTCAATCAATTGGACAAACTTTCTGACCAGCTCAGGGGTCACAGGACCACGGATAGGTCTGCCATAGGAATGCATGGCCATGCAATTCTCCCTTCAGGTAAGAACACAGAGTATTCTGTGGACAATGCCCAATACCCAGAAAGAGACAAAGAGCTACTGGCTTGTGATAATCACAGAATGGCAAGGTTGGAAGTGTAGCCAATAACATAGGTGAGGATCTCAGTGAAATAGCAATTTTATTCATGATTGCAATGGCGGGTGTCCCACAAGCAGAAGCACACCTACTAGTCACAAAGTACAGTTTATATACTTTCTTTCTCAATGACCGGGACCCTATCCTGTTTCTCCATTGACTGGGTAATCCAGGTTCACAACCTATCCGATGCTTCACAGACAATACATGGCCTTCAGTTGCCGGTCCATTAATTTTCAAATTTCTTTTGACTTTTTTACTGCTTGAGGTGGTAATGTTTCTTCCCTTATCTGTCTTGACTTGATGCTGAGAATTTCACCTGATTTGCACTAAGGAGTCTGATTTTGCATTTTACAAGGTCGCCTGCTAAGCTTTCTTATCACTGCAAGCATACCTCAATACCATATTCCTTACCTTTAAACAATGTAACTCTGTGCAAAAGCAACATTTTTAATCCCACAGAAGGGACATGGGAAGATCATCAAGTCTAACCCCCTTGCCAAGCAGGATCACCTGGAGCACATTGCGCAGGATGCCATCCAGACAGATTTTGAATATCTCCAGAGAACGAGTCTCCGCAACCTCTCAGGGCAACTCTCTGCAGAGCTGCTCTCCAGTAGGTTAGCCTCCAGCCTGTACTGGTGCTTGGGGTTATTCCTCCCAGGTGCAGGACCCTGTACTTGCCCTTGTTGAACTTCATGAGGTTCCTCTCAGCTGACCTCTCCAGCCTGTTGAGGTCCCTCTGAATGGCAGGACAGCCCTCTGCGGTTATCAGCCACTCCTCCAAGCTTTGTGTCATCAGCAAACTTGCTGAGGATGCACTCTGTTCCATTGTCTAGGTTGTTGATATATAAATTGAACAACACCAGACCTTGTACCGACCTCTGGGGCACACCGCTAGGTACAGGCCTCCAATCAGATTCTGCACCACTAAGCATGATCCTGCTCTCAGTGGTTTCCCAAGGTATTGGCTCTCTGGAACCTCTCTTTTGTTGCCAGGAGAAGACCACTACAACTGCCCAGAATTAGATGCTATAGTCTAGCATTTCCTTTTTAATTTCTCCTCCCTTTACAGGGTAAAGAAACAATAATGTAGGTGTGTTGGAATGAACACATTCCTTGCAAGTGAGTGCAAAAATTTCTCAACAAATGACTTTTTTGGATATCACATGTGGTCTGATGATTTCAGGTATTGTCCCCAAGACGATTCTAGTTGTTCTCAAACAGTATTTCATGCAAGAAGCTGTCCTAAGGAGCACACACATCTTAGTTTTATTCGGCAGCCCATAAACTGAGGGACAGGTCCTTCAGTAAAAGCGGATGGCTTGTGCAGGTTTAGCCTGGCTTTCTGCATCCTCCAGGTAAAAAAAAAATGGAACTCTAGAATTGGTTCTTACAGAAGTCACTCTTAACACTTCTTATTTTATAACCTATAGAAGCAACAAAATTCTCAACACTGTTTGTGTAAAGGCAGTATGGAAAGTGATAAGATAGACCATGCAGCTCAAGCTAAAAAATGTTACTAACCTTCATAAGTGGGTGATTAAATGATGGAAATGCCCATGGAGCATCAGCTGTCCTAAGTAGCAGATTCTATGTCTGCTACGTGTGAAACATACACTAGACATTGCAAATTGACCAAACTGAAAGGAAATAAAATTGACTCTTGGGATATCTGGACTCTGTTGTATGCCTCACATCATGCATAGGATCAACTAGGAGAAAAAGATGAGGAGGTAAAGAACTTAGAAATTCAAAATCCAAGGAGGATAAAATTAACAGAACACCATCTTAATCAGAAAAGAAAATCTTAGGGCTTGTGTACATAGGACCTTTGTTTGCAAACTAAACAATTAGAAGTTGAAAAAGTTCAAGACTTAGAGAAGGGTTTAGAAAATGAGCTAGAGAAAGCTAGAACAGCAGCTTAGTTCCTAGCAGAAGCAACTTAAAGCCATGTAATCAATTTATCAATTCAGTCATTGCAGATCTAAGAGAAAATTTCCTTTGCATGAAGTGTTAATAGCTGTTGTGAAGGCCGAAGGAATTTTTGATATTCTTCTAAACCTTGAACTTTCTCGTGCAATTTTTTTTTTCCAGACTTTGTCAGCCTTCTCCCAAAGACACACTGCTAGAAGTTCCTTCCAGTCCTGAGCTGGGGAGAATTCACCCAGTCAGCACTATAGTGACATAAAGGGTTGGAATAATGGGAAATAGCAAAGCAAGTGTCCAATGAGAAGTACAGGAAATTATCCAGTGGAAGCCCCATGAGGGTCCATTGCAGAATGCTTAGGCCCTTCATATAGGAATACTGTAATTGGTACAATCAAGAGCAGAGCATGTATCCACATTTAGGTGGAGGAGATGCAACTTGGCTCATGGAAGTCTGTCTAACACAGATACACGTATGCTTAGGGAAGAGTTACAAACTTTAGCCAAACCAGACATAAACCTTAGCAGGTGGATGCAACAGATTTTATCCCCGTTATTCCCAGTGAAGAGTCATAATCCTCTCTTTTGAGAGTAATTGCACTGTCGTAGCACACTGGAATCATCAGAAGGCATAGTCAGTCACAGGGGAAAAACTGTGAACCTGTTCAAACTGTGATTTATTCTAATCATGGCCCTCACTCAGCTTCAGGGACAGGATAGAAGATTTCATAAAACCCAAACTTCAATACTTCTACCCACAGTAGTCTAATCTTTAGCCAGAGGAGACCAACCTTTAACCAAAACCATGTGGATAAAGAAAAACAAGGCTATTGAAAGGTGCAGATCAAGTCAGCCTATGGAAATCCCTTTACAAAATCTCTGGAATACACAGAAGATCTGTTCAGATATTTACTCTGAAAGGAATTGAATGATTTTGGAGACTTCAAGAAGCGCTTAGACAAGGTGCTATGAAATATGATTTAGTAGCTTAGTGTTGGTGATAGGAGGATGGTTGGACTAGATGATCCTGTAGGTCCTTTCCAACCTTGTATTTCTACCATTCTATGAGAATATAATGATCTACTATACCCAATCAATTGATACTTTTATGGAAGCTTTCACAGAGATGGAAAGATGAAGCAGGGACTAGAGCACCTTCCACCAGAAATCACTACAAAACCTGACGCCTTTGCCAGTGGATTCTTGAGGACAATACTCAGTCAAAATGGCCATTAGGAACCTGGGAAAATTGGCTCAGTTTGAGACAAGGAACAACGTGAAGGATGTTGATTCTGTGGGTCTTAGCTAACACAATTGCATGTTAACCACAATGACAGGACAACGCCAAAGATAAGGGAGTAAAAGACTGTATTCATAGATAATGGAACCAGAAAGAACTGGCTTGACTGCTGAAGCCTGTCAAAGAAAGGAAAGATCACAGGTTTAGTAGTGAGGAAGACTTCTGGCCATCATCAAAAGACCACCAGCGTACACTGGACAACCACCCAAGAACTCCAGAATGCATGTGAATAGGGATGGAAACCTATGTTAATGATTTTTCAGAGACATGATGAATACGCAAGAGACATATGGGAAATGCAATGAATATGTATATATGGCACTAGTATAAGCACACTGCCAGTAACCCTTGGTGTGTGTGTTAGGTGGAGTGATCCCCCACACACCCAGTGCTGTAATAAAGAATACATGCTTAGTAACTTTGGTTACAGAGTTTTCACTGTGTCAGGTTCTTAACAGACACAGGAGCATCCGTGAACATTATTGCACTGTCTATAGTAAACTCAAGCCAGAAAACCTCAAGAGCAGGTCATTTTAAGTAGCTAAGATGGAGGCCATCTGGATGCCCCAGTTTGGGAAAACATCACATTACAACCAGATAAATTAAAGGGAATAACATATAGCACTATTAGCAAAAGTCCAAAAGGAAGAATTTGGGGTGTATCAAACTTAAAGTAAAATTACCTTACAGTGGATTTGTCAAATACTTTTTAATGGTATTTTGAGGAAGGACCAAGTTATTTCTGTTGTGCATAGCCATAATGCACTACCATTGTTGGACCCATTGCAACCACAACTGATGATGCTTGGGCAGGTAAATTCATGAAAACCTGGACACAAAACAGACGGAGTGTGGTAGGATTAAAGCTGATACAATGATTGAAGTTTGCAATCATGCAACTTGAAAAAAAATATAAATACTGAGATGAGACTGAGGTAGTAATTAAGGTAATAGAAAATTTTGTACATCAAGGTGTTCTCATAGAGATGTTGACAATCTGTAATGTTCTTCTGTGGCCTGTGCACAAAGGAGATCAGACTTCGAAGCTTGGTCTAAAGAGCTTTGCCTGTACACTCTGGAAACTCTTGTAGTTGCCAAATAAAAGGAAGTTGTGACAGCAATTGCAGCAGTGTCTTTGTAAGTAATTATTACTGTAACAGACACCCTTGTACCCTTGCAGCAGGCTTTCTGTTACAAATGTGAGTTTTGTATTTCAGGACTTCTTTTTGCATTCACTCACACCCCCAAGGATTACTAGTCTTCCTTCAGTATCGTCTATACACATGTAATCACATATGTCAGAAAAATTGTGATCAGAACCCAAGCAGTATGTAATGTCATTTGTGAATGACATTTTAATCCACTCACACACCAAGGAGAGAACAAAAGAACTCAGAGAAGAAGTACTTCATATTGCAATTAAAATATGACTTAAAACCAAAAGGCAAAAGGCTCAGTTAGTTCAAAACTAAGTCAAATACTTAGAGATGTTGTTGGGTGAAAAATGGTTGGTCCTTAGATGTTCATAAATTGGAAACACTACAAAAAATCTGCACTAACCAATATTTACTCGTTATGGTCATTTTTAGGCCTAATTACTTTTTCCCAAGATATTACAAAGCCCTTTGGAGAAAAAAAAAAAAAAAAAAAAAAGCCATGGCTCTACAGTGGCAACTCAAGAGAAATTGTAAAAAGAAAAAGATGTGGGAAAAGGAACAGAGTCAAACAGAGTCAAGAGTCAAAGTCAATATATTTACAAAGAGCTACTGCATTAGCCCACCCAGACTCATCTCTCCCCTTTTCACCAGTTACCTGGATCCTATGAAAGCACTGGAGCCATCAATTCTCAAATTCAAACAGGCAAGTCAAGGCTTATGCATCCAGACTTTGGATGTAAATGAATAGAAGTTCAGCTCATGTGAAAAGGTTTGCCTCATCCTAGTATGGAATATGAAATATTGGAGTTACGTAAATGGAAGGTCCAAAGTGATGATGAAAACTGTACATTCCACTTTAAGGTAAGTAATTTTGGGTAAAAACAAGGAGAGTCAGGTTAGCAGCATCAGAACTGTACATCAGACAGTAGTTTTAGCTCATCATAATGTCAGCAATATCAATGCTGTTGTCAAAACTCCGTCCCAGGAATCTGCAGCCCTATATGGGTGGTTAGTGGAGGGCGACTGGAAAGGGATATTCCATACCATATGAGGTCACACGCAGCAATAAAAGGTGGGAAAGGGGAAGGAGGAGGTTCTTGTTATGAAGATGACTGTCCTCACAAAAAACATGACACGTGTATTGAAGTCCTGATTCCCAGGACATGGCCAAGCATTGCTTGTTGATGAAAAGTAGAGAATAGATTTTTTTTTTCTTCCCTTTTTGCTTCCACATGGCCTTTCACCCCACCCCCCAACCCCCCATTTACTCTTTAATTAAATTACCCTTATCTCAACCCGTGATCCTTTTTTTTTATCTTTCCATCATACTTTCTTCTTCCCTCTTTTTGAGGAGGAGGAGTACAAGAGCGGTTTTGGTGGAGTTTAGTTGTCCAGCAGGGTAAAACCAGCATAGAGCCACAGGCACTGCTGGAGGTTTTGAGAATTTGAATTGTCAAATGTTCTTCTGGTGGTTTTTATGGCTCAGCCTAGATCAAGTCTAGCAACAGTCTGGCCTTCATGTTCAATTAACAAGGAATCTGGAGACTTCAGATGGCAAGCCAGTAGCACAGAGCTCAATGGCAACAAACAGCTAATCTTTTCCAGATGAAAACAGGAGTTATCAGAACCACACACTCCTGAACATAGTGAATAGCAAACTCAAACAGCACACTGGAAATAAGAAATAGGGTCAATAATATGTCCAAGTAAGCTGTATACAAGTCTGAGCACAGCACAGAGCACTATCCTGCTTGCAGCTGTAACAACTTGTGTTCAGGGCAGAACTGGGAAAGTCATTTTGGAATTCAGCATCCTCTTGGAAGGGGACCCTGAGTTTAAAGAACTGGCTGAAGAAGGAAAAGATAAATCAGATCAACTCACCACAATACAGGAGAGGAATAATTATTACAACACAAGAAGAGTGAATGACACTAGGTGGAGACCTAATATAAAAATGAATGTATACTGCTAGTATGAGAACTGACTTTCTTGTCTATGGCCAACACAGATTGCACAGAAGTAAAAACTCCAGTCCAGAACCAATATATTAAATGACCATGGTCAGCTGATTGACTTTGGGGTACCTCTGCCAGTGACAGTTCAAAACAACATATATATTTTGGTTGTAGTAGAACCTTTAAGTAACCAACACTGCAGCCATGACTGCGAGGTTGTTTTTTAACATCATTTTATAATTGAGTCTGCCCCATACAATAGATTTTGATCTCTGCACCCCCTTTCTCAGAAAAGTTATATACAAACTGTGCAAAGCCCTAGGAATAAAGCAGAAGTTCTACACTGCCAGGCACTCCACATCTTCACATTTAGGTAAACCACACAATTAAGGAAGCTTTAGAAAAACAGTGCAAAGCTAACTGCAATGCAAGAATTAGGATGAGAAACTCCCCATCATTTTCATGGAACTGAGAGAATCTAAAGCAACTCATGATGATAGTCCTAATTTATGACGGGGCAGCAAAGGAGAATGCCCAGGTCCTCATGGTTTGGAATAGGATTACCTGACCCAAGCATAAAGTAATTACAGATGAGTAGGTAGAAACATAGAAATAACTAGGGATCACCAACACATAGAAAGACAACTGGGGAAAGCCCAAATGGATATGGATGAAAGGTTAGCATGTGACTGAAAACCAGTTATGTGGGGTGTAAATGAGGCAGTAATGTACGGGAAATAATACCCTGTGAACATTCTGACACGTAAGTGGGATGGACCAGTCTACTTTGTGGATGAGGTTAGTCCTGATGTTTATCAGGCTGAAATTTCACAGGGTAAGCGTGGTAGGCCATGGAGGAAATAATTCCGTTCTTCTCAGTTGAAAAAATGAAAAAGTGAACCTTCATCTGCCAAAGATAAGCACCCATAGATGAGTTCGCTGAGCAGATTTGATTAACTTAAATTTCATCTTTGCACAGTGTGGTAATAGCCATTAAAATGTAAATAGTTTCAAACACTTCTGTTACAACTTTGTCCTTTACTGGGGCATGGGGGTGAGGGTTTGGCCAAAACATCCTTCTCTAGTTCTACTCTTCACAAAAACAAACAAAAAAAAAAAAAAAAACATGCAGTGATATTTACTAATTTTGTTGATAAATGCAATGAGAGTAATAACAGCCAAAAACATCCAAACAACTGATGAGGAGCTAAGACCTGTGCCTTTACTGGTTTGGAGTTGCTGTACAAAGTAGTACATTGGATTGGACTCTTATATGCAATGGTTTGAAGGCAACAGCATGAGTGAAACAAATGAATAGACCTCTCATACTTTCCATACTCTCAGATGACCTGATAGTCCCATGTGCCTCTGGTGATTTGCTATGCTTTTATTATAGCACACACACTTTCATAGATGATCAGAAGGGAATTATTGTGTCTTGTAAACCACTGTGGAATTATGCAGGGAAAATCCCAGATGTCAGCATCACCCATGATGTTTATACTGAGAAGCATGAGGCAGCACTGTCACCCATTGCTTGAGCTGCAAGTTCTCCTCTTAGTTTTGTTTTTGTAACAGGGCCTAAAGTCTTAAAAGAGACAGGCTGTGTCTTAAAAGAGATGAACTGTACTTTGGTTCAGACACCCTCACCTGTCTTAAAACTAGCAGAGTTGCTGCAGAAAGGACTTCTGTGACTGGTACCCTCTTCTGACCCTTCGTAATATGGTTAACATAACCAACACCATTTTGTAAGGCAAACTGTCATAACTTGTAAGGGGAGTGATCACATATAACCCCCTTTTTCCCTACCTGTTTTTGGCACTGTGATAAGAACATCAGCCCACCAGTGATATCAAAGCCTGAGCACGAGGTCACGAGTGTGTGATGACACCCATTATGGAACAGGGAATTGTAACAGTATTTGAGATACAAAATCAAGAAACAGCACATCCTAAGTGGAACTTGGAACAGATCTGCTACTGGACAGAAAAACCTTTGTTTCCCTGGTGGTCAGGAATGCCTCCACCATTGCCATCTTCCTCCAAGGATCAACTGAGTGACTCATGTTCATTTAGGTATAGATTATGATTATTGGATCACACACTGATCATTAAGAATTTGACTGAGTCTTCAGAGGGTCCAGGTGACTGAAGAGTCCAGTATCTCAGAATTCTAGATAATAAGAGAATTACACAAGTTAATAGCAATTCTGCGTAATGGTAAGCTATGCCAATTATTAGAAATTCTGTGTAAAAATATACTGTGTTAACTATTAGAAATCACAGATAATAACCCATGCTGATTGCTAAAATTTTCATGTAATCATAGAATCATTAAGGCTGGAAAAGACCTCCAAAATCATCTGGTCCAAATATCCCCCTACCATCCATGTCTCTCTCTAAACCATGTCCCTAAGCCCCACATCCAACCTTCCCTTAAACACCTCCAGGGATGGTGACTCCACCACTTCCCTGGGCAACCTGTTCCAATGTGTGACTGCTCTTTCTGAGAAGAAATGTCTCCTAATTTCCAGCCTAAACCTCCCCTGGCACAACTTGAGGCCATTTCTTCTAGTCCTGTCACTAGTTATTTGCCAGAAGAGGCCGACTCCCAGCTCCCCACACCTTCCTTTCAGGCAGTTGTAGAGAGCAATAAGGTCTTCCCGGAGACTCCTCCAGACTAAACAAGCCCAGTTCCCTCAGCTGCTTCTCACAGCACTTGTGTTCCAGGCCCTTCACAAGCTTCGGAGACCTTCTCTGGATGTGCTCCAGGGCCTCGAGGTCCTGTATTAGTGAGGTGCACTCAATTCCCTCATTCAAATCATCAAAAAATATATTAGAGAGGATGGGCCCCAACACCGACCCCTGGGGAACACAACACAATCCAGCTGGTGACCAGTCGCCAGCTGGATTTCACTCCGTTCACCACTACTCTCTGGGCATGGCTGTCCAGAGAGTTTTTATCCCAGCAGAGCGTACCTGTAATAATGTTCTACACATAACTACAACTCTGTGGCCAGTCCTCATTCTACAGAGGATCCCTAAAAGAATCTGTCTGTCCCTATAGCAGTGTGTGACAAAGTCCTTCAACTGGGCCATTAAAGACAGAGATTTGAACAGAAAGTATCACATTGGCTCATCCCACTGAATGGAACCACATCCAGTAAAGATATGTCAGTTATCCCCTACAAACGCTTTGTGGAAATGTAAATTATCTTTACAGAAAGTCTGAAAGGGAATTACACTTTGGCATTGGGAAGAAAAAAATCAAACTCTCCATGGGTTTAATCCTATCATCATCAATTAAATGTATCTCTAAAACAGGACAAGCCAAGGCATTTAGAAACATACAAATTCAAGTTTAAAAGAGGTTTGCAGAACTTTTTAGGTCCTGATGGAGCAGGTTTGTTTGCTAGTGATGCTGTAAATCAACTAGACAGCAGACAGTGGGATATTGGTAGAAGACTTCTGATGTGGGAAAATATTCTAGAAAATCATGAATTGTTTTTGCTTTCAAGTACTCAGTATTTGGCAAATACATGTATTGTATATACGGCTATACTAAGTACGCAAACTCAGGAAGTATTAAAGATTATAATCATTGTCATGGCTGGAATGGCTAGAATAGGTAAAATTTTTACAGAGGTGGTATAACTGATCAAATAACAACCATGACAGAGATATCTCTAACTGAATGCAGCCCATTGATAAATGCTACTTAACATCCAGATACAGAACAACTGATTTTTCATAATCTCAATTTCAGATGCTGACGTATTTAATGTCTATCCTGTAATCCACTTCTGTTTGCAAACAAACTAGGATTTAGCAATGTTTTCTAGAGAGATGAACCACTATACAAACAAATAAATAAACATCTCTATAAGTACGAATGCAGAAGGTTGTCATGAATATGAGTCGTGGTGTTGTTTGTGATCTTCAAAGGCTAGAGAAACAATCCTTCTTGCCACACCCCACAAACTATCTTTATGTATATTCAATTTAGTAAAGAATAACTGCTCTATTGTCTAGGTTGGTAAAGTTTTGTGTGTCAGAGCTCCTGGCAATTACTGTCATTTAAATCTAGGAAAATTAAACAAATAGTTGCATTTCTCAATAGCTGTTCCTGTAATAACTCTGACATTCATATGGGATTTCCGATTTGACAACCCCATTTAAACAGTATGCCATTATTAAGTTCCAATTTCAAATTTACCAATTCTTATCACATATTTTATTTGGTATAGGTCTCAACATAAAGAGAGGTTCTCAAAGTGAACCTTATTCACCCAGTCCATCTTATATCAACAGTTAGAGCAGTAAAAGCAATTTGAAAAACAGCACCCTTCATTTCCATAACAATATATTTCTAGCATCAATGCTAAGGTAGGCAGGAGCAAGGCATTATGAGTAGTGTTAGACCTTGTTAAATTGGTTGCTCTCCCATAAGAGATGTTCTCAATCATCTTCCATCCCATAATAACAAATTCAAATACTCACAGTTCTCACAAAATTTTGGATGGCTTGTTGGACCAAAATGAAAATTTGTACAGCTTGAGACACTGACTTGCAATCACTCACAGTTCTTCTTCTAGAAAAACACCCTGGAAGGTGCCCAGCAAAGACTGTGCAGGGAGCGTAATGCAGACTCCAGGCTTGCGCTCAAGCAATCCCGGCTCACGCAGTCTGAGTCCAGCTGAAGCAGAACGTCCCCATCACATCCAAAGCTGCAAGTGTTAAACACTTAGGTTTGCCCAGCCATGCTTAAGGATGAGTCAGGCAGCAGCTGTTAGCAATACAAAAGAATGGGTAAATGGCCTTGATGGGCAATCTATCTCAAGCCTTCTCAATCAATTGGACAGACTTTCTGGCCAGCTCAGGACCACCGATAGGTTTGCCATGGGAATACATGGCCATGAATTCTCCCTCCAGGCATAAACACAGAGTCTTCTGTAGACAATGCCCAGTACCCAAAAAGAGAGAAGAAGAGCTACTGGCTCATGATGATCCTGCTCTAGGTGGCTTCCCAAAGTAATGGCTCTCTGGAACCTCCCTTTTTTTCCCAGGAGAAGACCACTACAACTGCCCCGACTCAGTCCAGGATTAGTAGAAAACTTATTATTTTGTGCTTGTACTGCCTCAGAGTTTTAAAGCTATGGACTCAATACATGAAAATCAAAAAAGATGGTGTTTCACTTAATTATAGGGTCTATATGTAGGAAAGACAGAAGCATCTTGGAAGCATAAGTAGAAGCATAGAAGGAAAGCAAGAAGATCCAAACCAGACAACAGAGAATTGCACTCCATCCCACACAAAACTTCAAGACAGGTATGTAATTCTCCTTACCTCACTGTTCTAAGAGAATGAACCCCTTTCTTCCACACAAACACACTTTTTTTCTAATGGTCTTGGAGAACTGTATCTTTAGTTATCTTTGCTGAAAGTTTCCTTAAGGTGTGTGAGAAACACTCCACAGCCAATAACTTAGGCTCAGGCGAGGATCTCAGTGAAGAAGTAATTTATTTGCAATTGCAATGGCAGGCACCCCACAAGCAGGAGAGAGCACCTCTACTAGTTCCAAAACACAGTTTATATACCTTTTGATGGCAGGACCCTCCCCTGTTTCCCCACTGAGTGGGTAATCCAGGTTCACAATCTATCTGATGCTTCACAAACAATGCATGGCCTTCAGTTTCCGGCCTGTTAAATTTCAAATTTCTTTTGACATTTTTACTGCTTGAAGTGGTAATGTTTCTTCACTTATCTGGCTTGACTTGACACCGTGATTTTCACCTAATTGTCCTAAGGAGTCTGGTTGTCTACATTTTACAAGGTTGCCTGCTAAGCTTTCTTATCACTGTAAGCATATCTCAGTACCACATTCCCTCCTTCTAAACAATGCAACTCTGAAAAAACAACATTTCTATTCCTACAAGGTGTAAATAGATAATCTCCCAGATTCTGGGGGAGACCTTTGCAAGAAGAATTCCAACCATTACATACTATCTTTGAAGAAATAGAGAATTGTGAAATTAACCTAGAGCTGTCTAAATTCTTTATTCTCCTGTTTTGAGCAAAATATATATGCTTGAACACTTATGGTCTGATATTTTATTTTCTCTCTCAAAAAAAAAAATACTATGATTGAGAATTTGGAGCTTTTCCTGCACAATTGCTACAACTGACTACACAGATCCCAAATGTATAGACTTGCTTGAAATAATTTCCAAAAATAAGTTTCCATTTTTGTACATTGACTGCATGTCTCTCCTAGTTACATACCTACACCTAACAATACTGCATGGTTCTGTTGATGCATTAAACTTTCTTTGTCTTACAAAGTTTTAAAGAAAAAATCATATTGTGTCTGATATGCTTGCCAAGGCCTACCCTGAAAAAAAAGCACTCATTGCATTTGTTGAGACAGACCATGCCTCAGCTGCTCAGCCGCTTTCAGTGTTGGACCAATTATTTAATTTGTCAGAGAACACCATCCTACTCATCAATGTTTCCCATTCTGTTCTCTGTCAGTCTGAAGCTATGAATGGCTCATGGACTTCCATGCTTGAACAATGTAGCAAACCCTGAGGGGCTATGACTTGATGACACCAGAACTCATTTTCATCACTCCATCTAAATTTTTATTCTCTTTTCTACCAGAACATCTACAGATGATTCTTCTTGTCTTCTGGCCTATGACTAGGTGCTTATGCATGGTTTCATCTGACAGTGGGATTGAGTGCACCATCAGCAAGTTTGCTGATGACACCCAGATGTGTGGTGCAGTCAATGTGTTGGAGGGAAGGGATGCCATCCAGAGGGACCTGGGGTGGACCTGGTGGACCTTGAGGGGTGGACCTGTGCAAACCTCATGAGGTTCAACAGGGCCAAGTGCAAGGTCCTGTATAAATCCCAAGCAAAAATACAGGCTGGGTGGAGAATGGAGAATGGCAGCTCTAAGGAGAAGGGCCAAGGGGTGCTGGTTGACGAGAAGCTCAACACAAGCTAGCAATGTCCACCTGCTGCCCAGAAAGCCAACTGTAGCCTGGGTTGCATCAAAAGTATGGCCAGCAGGGTAAGGGAGGTGGTTGTCCCCCTCTACTCTTGTCTTGTGAGACCCCACCCGGAGATCTGCATTCTTCTCTGGGGCCTTCAACGCAAGTACACTGAAATATTTTTATGAGTCCAGAGGAGGGCCGTGAAGATGATCAGAGGGCCAGAGCACCTCTCTTATGAAGAAGGGCTGAGGGAATTGAGGTTGTTCTGTCTGGAGAAGACAGCTCCAGGGAGACCTTATAGTGGTCTTCCAGTACCTAAAGGAGACCCACAGAAAACCTGGGGAGGGAGTCTTTGTCAGCAACTGTAGTGGTAGGACAAGGAAAAATGGCTTTAAACTAAGAGTGTAGATTTAGATTAGACATTAGGAAGAAATTCTTTACTCAGAGGGTGGTGAGGCACCAGCACAGGTTGCCCAGAAATGCTGTGGATGCCCCATCCCTGGAGGTGATTTGAGGCCAGGCTGGATGGGGCTTTGATCATTCCGGTTTAGTGGGTGGCATCCCCGCCCATGGCAGGGGGTTGGAACTGGGTAATCTTTAAGGTCCCTTTCAACCTAAACCGTGCTGTGATTCTGTGACAACCTCTGGTATGTCTCAGTATATTTCTTCCTTGTATTTAACTCTCTCAAGACTGTGCACGTTTCTTTGATTAGAAAATGATGGCCACTGTTAGAGATGAGAAGCTTGCTGCCCCTACTCTAGATGTCCCTGGATTTAACACTGATGGCTCAGTAGATGGGACATGTCTGGCAATTTCTAAACAGCTGCCTTGGCAGTTGTCACAGGTGTTCTCCCAGCTGCCATCTCAGGTATTGTCCTTCAGTGTAATGAAGACAGAAGTGGGGAGCACCAACTTAAGCTGGGAGTCATGAGTGAAGACCGTGTTAAGAAAGTTGTCCCTAAGGCTCTTGCTGCTGTTTGCCTGGGATTCTGGAGGTGCACCCCTGCTCCACACGCACACACGCTCTGTTTTCCTCCCTGCTGCATGGAAGCAAAAGAGGACACTTGTCGGGCACCGCGCTGAGGGACCCGCTCCGCCATCCCACGAAGCGATGCCACCGCTCCTCCGACACGAAGGCAGCCTCATGCCAAGCGCAGCCTTCGCCCTTTCGAGGTCTCCTTGCCCTCCTCCCGCCACCGTCCCCCCCCCCCCAGCACCCGCTGCTCCCCCCGGGGCTGACGGACAGAGAAGGGGAGGGGGTGCGCTGAGGCGCCCAGTAACAGGGCAGGAGGGGGCGGCGGGCGAAGCGGCCGCGCATGCGCGCTGCGGGGAGGGGCGGGGCGCGCTCCCTGCGCTCCTGTCGCAGTTGTGCCGGCGCAGTGCGCCTGCGCGGAGGCCGGGAGGGAGGGGGGGCGGCGGAGGGCGGGGCCCGGCCCTGTTTTGAACGGGCGGCTGCGGTTGGCTCACTATTTGGCAGGAAGGTGAGCAGGCCTCTATCCTGCCGGCTGCGCTGGCGTAGGCAGCGGGGGGCTCCAAATGTGGCAGAGCCGAACAGGAGGAGGCGGCGGCGGCGACGGCGGCGGCGGGGGGCAGGCGAGACGAGGGGAGCGGCCGAGCCCGCTGCCGCCGCGGAGGAGCTGAGCTGAGCGGCGAGGCCAGGCCAGGCACGGCGAGGCCAGGCGCGGGGGGGCGGCTGCAGCAGCGCTGGCACCCCCGGGCCGCCCGCCCCGGCGGCAGGTGAGCGGCGGGGGGGAGGTGGCGGGGGGGGGCCGGGCCCAGTACCGGGCAGGGCCGGAGGGAGTCGCTGTGCGGGGAGGGAGCCGCCGCCGCTCCCGGCCCGGCCTCATCTCCCCTCCCCTCCCTCCCCTCTCTCCCCTTCCCTTCCCTTCCCCTCCCCTCCCCCGGGGCCCGCACCCTGCCCTCCTCCCCGCTCCGCCCCCGGCCCCGCCACCGCCACCCTTCCGTGCTCTGCGGCCCCGCTCGGCGCCCGGCCCCCGCGGCGGGGAGGGCGGGCAGTGCACCCCCAACCCCCCCCCTAACACAGCACACCCTCCCCTTCCCCTTCCCCTCCGCCGCCCAGCCGTTGCACTGCACCGCCGGGCTGGGGCCCGCCGAGGGGCCGCCCGCACGGCTGCGGCCCCCGGGGTAGCGGGGGCGAGGCGCCCCGAGCGGGTGTGTGAGTGTGTGTGAGTGTGTGTGTGTGAGTGTGTGTGTGTGTGCGGGGATCCTTTGTCTGCCGCCGCTGTTCCCCTCCTCCCTCCCTCCCTCCCTGCCCTCGCTCTCCCGGTGCCTCTCGCGCTCTCCTCCCTCTCTCCCTCCCTCCCTTCTTCCTCGCCCTGCTCCCTCCCTCCCTTCCTTCCCCTCGCTCCGAGCGCTGCTGCAGCTGCAGGTTTGTAAATACTGGACCAACACACGCACACACACACACACACACACAACATGGCTGACGCTCGCCCTGCTCCTCCACCAGGCTCTCCGCCTTCTCCCTCTGTCTCCGCCGCTTAGCCTCATCTCCGATTAGGCTTTTGTTTCTTCCCCCTCCCCCCCACCCCCCTCTCCTTCGTCTCCCATCCAAAAAAAAAAAAAAAAGGGAGGAAAAACAATTCACCCTCCTTATTGCGCGCATGGCGGGATTTCAAGGGTAAGGATCCTCGCTTTGGGAGCTTTCTCCTTTCGTTTTGCTGTTTACCACAAAATGAAACCTAAAATTCAGAAGGGGTTTGGGAACCTGGCAAGGCCGGGGGGAGGGCAGGAGGGGAGGGGGAGAGCTGGATGAGCCCTGCTGAGAGAGGCTCGATTGGAATGTGCGTATCATTTTCGCTTTTTGGGTGGGGGGAGGCCGATGCACCAAAGTGCTGGCACAGACGAAATACTGTATTACACTTACAGAATGATCTAGGGCCATTTCTTTCGTTTCAGGGTGTAGTTCAGTGTAAGGTATCAACTCGGCACAGTCACATTTAAAAGACCTGAACTAGTTGGATCAGAACAGGCATTGTGCAGATAAAAAAAAAAAAACAAAAAAAAAAACAAAAAAAAAAAAAACGCAGAACAGTCTTTTTGTGTTTTGTTGCATTCCCTGTATCATCTTGTCAATATCTCAAATAGCTGGCAGATCATGGGGTACAAAACTGGAATTAATGCTTGCCAGGTCTTTGTGTTGCTAGTTTTTTATCACAGATTAATTTGCCCTTGTGATGACAATAGCAAACTGAAGCATTTCCTTTTTGTTAAAAGGAGCACTCCTGCCTTCCAGCTTCCTTTTTTGTTCAAAAGGCACGGCATCGTGACTTAACTGAGCTCCTGAGCTAAAACAAGACAGCATGCTTCTGACCTCTCCTAATGCAAGGCAAATGTTCAGTTCGATACCCCTCCCAACCTCAGTTATTCAGAGCACCCCCTTATGGCTTCGATGGAAATTGTTTATTTTACTGCTTTCTTATGGCCTAAAACCAAAGTAAGGTAGTTCGCTGGGCACATCTGAAATGACCTACTGTGAACAGATTTATACCTAGGATGTAACTGTAGGGAAGAA